CTTCCCTCCCTGCCTCTCTCCCTCCCTCCCTGCCTCTCTCCCTCCCTCCCTGCCTGATTGAGTCAGAGAAAGAACGAGGGACATATCCTGGGTCTGCTTTCTTCGGCAGTCGACTTCCACTTTCCTCGTTGACGATTTTTCCGCCTTTTTTCCGCTATTCTGCCATAAGCTGACAAAACGCCTTTTTTTCGTTTTGCCGTCAGAATTGTGTATTTGTTCAAGTTGCCCTACTTATGTGGACAAAATCGAAGTGAAACTGTGACTAGTTTTTAAATTTCGAAATCACTCTATTTTTAAATGGTTACGCTGAGGGGAAAAACCCCTTTTTCTCGAAACTGCTGTGAAGGAAAAAATAGACGGTGTCTCAGGTCACTGCAGTATTGTTGCTGTTCTGTCTTTCTACTACCTTAGCTGAGATTACTGCAATGTTGGTGACCTTGGTCCTGTGTCCTGTAACTGTAAGGGTTTTCTTGAACTGCGATTGCTTTAGGGAGACCTCATTGTGTCTCGTCCACTTGGCGATCTTTTTTAGTAGATAAACATTGTGTGTGGTTGGCGAGCGATCGGGCGTGGTTTGCTCTTTTGGTCCTATCAAACATCTATCGTGCTTATGTCTCCTTCTTTTTGTGAATGTTCCTCTCTGTTAACACCTCTAATCCTCAGAATTTATATTTAATTATAATAATACGACCTTGTCGTGTAGCAATGACCCCAAAACTTTGCTAAAACAAACTGAACAAAGGAGGAACATTACAAGTTATTTGGTGGGTGACTGGCCAATGCTCTGGTGTGGTTTGCTCTTTCTTTCCTATCAAACATCTATCGTCTTTATCTCCCCTCTTTCTTTTTTGTGTTTGATACTCCCTTGTAAGAAATCTAACCTTCGGCACTTATATTACCTTATTGTGTTGCAAGTGTCGTAAAACTCTTACTAAAACTAAAACTAAACATGTTATTTACAATCCAAAACAACCACAATTATATAAACCGGCTTCTGTTGCGTGACGACCAGGCACTTCTACGTCACACACGAGACACCTGAGTTCGATTCCCGTGGATAGAAAATTGTGATCGGGTATCTTTG